CAGGTGGGAGTGTAGGAAGTGTGGAAGTGAGTTCGAAAAGTAGTGTCACACAAAACATATTTTGATTATGCGGAAGTGTATATCTGTAACTGTATCACATAGTGACTATTCACCACATAACTACGGTCGGGTTTCATGTCGTTCGCAGAATGTCTGTGTATCTTTTTTCTTTACTGAGTTATGACCAAAAGAAGAAAATAGGAGTATACGGAAGATTCTTGCCTTCACTGTAATGGTGATAATTCGTGTATTTGATGCTGATCGGTATTTATATGAATGAGACCATCTTGGTTGATTTACATCTAATGGAAGATGATAGCACGATGGGGTTTCAGTAACTGTTTTCAGTTGAACTTTTAGCCGTTTATCATTGGACAAACGAATATTGGGATCTGTTATATCTGCCAGAAAACTTATAATTGAATCTCGTTGATGAATAATAGATGTTGATAAGAATGGAATTATTGTTGACGACAAATGAAACTTTTTAAATATGAAACATAATTGATTTTCAAAAAGAATACCAGCATGAACAACAATAGAATTTGATATTAATGGAAATTGTAAAGAAAATGAATGGCGATTATATTCAATTGTAAAGTAATCGATAAAATGCTTTTTAATTCGATTCTCAGTTAAAATAGCATCATGTTCGTTTAATATATCAATATGCTGTGTTGATTCAAATAATACCAGTTGTAAAACAGGTGTACAGAAACTATTTGGAATTAGAAGATGTTTTTCTTCGTATAAATCAACAGTAGAATTATCATCGATGGTAGTAAGCATATGATGTAGTGTTCCACGAACAATATTTTTGTGATACACGTTTTACTAAGAAGGCAAATGTTTTCTCAGGATGAATATAGTAGCGATAAACAAATTGCCATGATAACAAATAGTAAGTCAACGATGTATAACAACCTGTGCCTTGAACGTGATCCGTTTTTGTTATTGGTGAACAGAAACATAATTCACCTAAATGACTGAGTGCTTCAGAATAGGCGTAGAATTGTCAGCTCGATCTAAATAGATCATATTCAAAAAGAATACAGGACTAACAAATGAAGTAGTCTAATTCAAGAACTTTCAAGATGTTTAATAGGGAATCTAGACGATAATTGTCTTGAGAATCTAAGTTAATTCTATGCCTAGTTGAGGTCTAGATGAGCATCTCTTGCTAGTTCAGTTATTATTGCGACTTTACTACGTATGTTTCTTTATGGCACAAGTAACGTTCATCATTCTGATTCATTTATCCCTTGACTGGAAAGGAATCGCCAATATCACAAATACTCTTTTTCCCACTGCTGAATATGACGAAAGAGTGAAGTTCGAAAATATATGTATTCACTGTAGGTTTAAGAAAGTCAAAGCGAAGAGACCGACATTTAGTACGCTCACGTAATCACTAACTGGAGATTCTGCTCTGTGCTGAACCTCAGATATTTGTCTTGATCGGAGATCTGACACATCCTTTAGTACTCACTACCCCTCTCATTCCGAAGACTAATAGCAAGATTAGCTCTGCAACACCAAAACTAATTTTTTGTCAAGTTTCGAAAGAAAAAAATCGTATCTAAGATTACATAATCGGAGATACTGTTCACACAAATGCTTGTATCAAATGCACAGACCATCATTCAACAGCATTTCGCGTTGAACCTTGACCCATTCTCACTGGACATTGTCCCCATATATTCCCCAATAGAATTCACCACTTTCCATACACTTTTCCTCAGCTTTGCTACAACAAATAAGTGTGTCTCTTTTTCTGCTAATAATTTGTGTTTGGCTGTCCGCTGCGAACATACACACATAGCAGGCATTTTAACTAGAGAAGATCCTTACCTTTACAGTCGAGGGAATAACGCATTCTCTTAGCTAATCCTTATCTTCTAGAATCGAACAGTAAATATATGTTTCACAGGCCGAAACAGGCAGAGTTAGTAAAATAACATCGTTTCTTTTGATCAAATGAAAGTTGCAGTTTTTTGAGAATTTGACAATGTATACATGAATCTATATCTCAATGTTAGTTACTTAGGTGGTTAGTTAATCAGAGTAATCGCAATGTTACCTTGCAAATGTGTACAATACGTTGAATAGTATGATCAAAAGTCAAGAGGGGATAAGCGGATCCGGCTTTCCGCGTGGATTCGAAACGATCTCTATGGATCCCTAAGTATCCGAAATTTGCCCCAGGAGTAGAACCGTCTTCTATAAACTTCTTATACCTTTTAAACAGAGAAGTAGGGCGAAACGAATATTTTCTGAGTTTATGACTTCCTTTCTGTGATTATCCAGCATAGTATAAGGCACTAGTAATTCGAAGTTGAGGCACTATTTTATTTTTGACTTATTTATACATGATTGGATAGAGCTCGTCGAGCGCTACAGGAATATGTAAGTTTTAACTTTCCAAACATTGGTTTTGACGGAAACATTTTGAAAATATTAGAAAGGCCTTGAATTTCGAAAAACCGTTCAGCTACGAAAAATTTGAATATTTTTGTCAAATTTCATTTTGAAACTCTTCAACTCTTTTTTTCCGATTCAACACATGAAACTCAGCCTAAAATATCATTCGGAGCTTCTCCGCCTATACCACAGTCAGAAGAAAATGCGGGTACCTAAATAGCTTGAAAGGCTTTGTAGGTATTTATCTAGTTTTTTCTATTGAGAGATGGAACCTTATTTCTATGCCATTTGAACCGCCATCAGACGTGTAATACAACTATAAACCGCTTTCTTTCGAAATTCCTTTTGAAGAGAAAAAGATATTTCTATTCTGTCCCACAACTTCAATTTTTTTCGAAATTTTCACGTTGAAAAATTATCGAGATTTTCACCAAAAACTGAAAATTAAGTAAAAATTTCGAAATACACATTAGTCCACTCAGTTCTTGATCTTGATTCCGAATATGGTGTTTTTATTGCATAAAAGTTGAGTTCTGATGGAGAAAATTGAGAATTACGAGCAGATTTCTGACTTTTTCGCCTCTCTTAACTCCAGAAAAAATGACTTTTCTCAGCAATGAAAAGGAATTTCCAAAAAAGCAATTTTCAGTTATTACTAAAAATCTACATTCTACATCTACGTCAGATATATAAGAAAAATATATGAGACGTAAGAAATGATGAATAATAAATATTGATCATTTATCATTATTGACAATAACTTATGAATTCCAAAATATGTGGCCTAACTTTATGTAACAATATGTGATGTGTTTGAAAATACCTCTGATTAGCTCGATTATATTACGTTTACATAACTCTTAAGACATAAACGATGCAGAATTAAGATTATCATGACCTTAAGAGAAAGCCAGAAAGTCATGCTAGTCAAGAACTCCTTTGAAGAAATGATTCCGCTTGTTAATTGGCAGAAAAGGTACATCTTTGTCTCATATCATATTCAACTCCGTTATTGACACAAACCGATTTAACAGGACTGCACGATATGGATATCGGTTTCCATTCGAAGCAAATGCCAAAACAGATGTTTGGTTTGTAAGCGACGGGCTTTTTTTTTAGAGAGTGAATAATGGGCGGTGTTGCAAGGGAGAAAGCAGACTTAAGTTCAATTATGCGCTTTCAAAATCCAAATAAGTCACATTCCTTCTATGAATGATACCGGGATTTTTCGAAATACAGCAAATTACGATGAGATTAAAACGCAAGAAATGGACTGAAAAGTGCTGGAGTTCTACATAGATTGATAGCTTTTGTTCAGAACAGCGAAAGCTCTAGCGCTTTTTTTTTTGAATATGCAGGTTAAGATATGAAAACTGTTAGAAAACATTCTTTTTTTAAACAAGTGTTAGCTGTACCTATCGTCGTCTACCATCTCCATTTTTTTATAAGATTTAAGTGTAGAACTAACTAAGCCTTAGTTAGTTCTACACTTAAATCTTATAAAAAAATCCTAGATAAAAAGATCTAGCTCTTTTTATCCCGGATTGCGTAAAACGCCAGTTGTAACACTATAGTTCGTATGCGTGCTAGGTTCATTCATAATCTTTTGAATGTAACACGTGTCTGCTTCAAGCTATTTGCAAGAAAGAAATTAAGACAATATTTCTTTTAAATAGAAAAGTGATTTTATTGACACTATTTGGCGCCAAAAAGCACTTTTTACGCCTTAGATTGGTTGCATGTCGATACCACCACAGTATTTCGAGCTAATTTTCTTACTTCGTCGTCATGAGTCGAATTTTGGTCACTGGTTCAAAGAAAGAAATCTTCTTGCACATCAAGTATGGATCAGTGGAGAAACTGAAAGCTCTTAGAATCCAAGTATAAACTGCTTGTTTTTTCATTTGACCACCAGAGATGACAATGAACATTTAGGGCTTTTCTTGTAAATTCTATAATTTTGCAAAGAAAGGTCATGTAGAGCTGGGAGATGTCTCCTTTTAATCAGAAATTTGCGGGCTATAATTATATCTAATTGAAAAAGGGTTTTGTTATTTTTTAGAGTTCTTGAAAACTGTTTTTCCAGAAAATCGGGTCTTCAAGAGTCATCGGCCCGAATTCTTTTTAGGGTATTTACTATCTCACTGAGGTCTATCGATCCATGTACAAATCATTGGAATTGGAAGATTACATCTCGAAAGGTTCCCTCGTAAGCTATTTTCTCTAAAACCTCACATTATTTTCTAGCCTTGAAAAGTGCATGTATATCCAGCACAGAGTATGTCAAATTTTTTGACCATCTCCAAGCATTATGGAATTTCTTTACCGGAAGTGCAAAACGACACGCAGTAAATAAGATTTCTTCGCACACACATGCTGTAGACTTTGAACTGTAAGTTTATTTTAGCTATTTCGCGCTAAAATCGATAGCACAAGTTATGGATTGCTATTAAAAAACCTGTGTGTTACTCGGTGGTTTGCTCGCTACGAATCCATTAATGCTATTTATCAATCATTTAAAGAATTAGTAAAATGTCTTGAAGAACTAAAAGATGATTCAGATAAAGATACAAGGGAAGCAGCCAAATCATTGTTGAAAAAGCCGACATCCTATGAATTCTATGTTTTAATGTCATTTTTACGGCAGCTGCTTGCCACAACAAATGCCACAACAGCTGAATTACAAAAAGAAGAGCTGAATGTGATAACAGCCACCGAAATGATTGCATCGTTAGCGAAACTATTGCAAAAAACTCGTAACGATGACTTAGCTTTACAAGGAATTATTCAAGTATGCTTCGACTTTGAAACAATAAATGTATATTGAGTAATCAATCTTTTCACTCTCTTTTAGTTAGCAGAAAAGGAAATAGCATCCTTTGGCACTGATATTGAGTGTGAATTTGATCGTTTACATCGTACACGTTTACGCTCGTGTCGCACTTATGCCAACAATACATCAGCTTACGCATTTACTAGGTAAGAAACTGAAATACCTGAGTTTCTAGGGAATTCACTTAGAGGTCTGCACCAGGAAATTACAGCGAAGACTGAGAAAAGGCTTTTTAGAGCGAATGAAAATCTGATTTGAATGACTGTGACACTAACCATGCTCATTTTAGTGAACAATTTTATACAACCTTGTTTCGTACAATTCTTGATCATTTACATGGTCAATACAATGAGTATTTTGAAATACTCAATTCAACATTAAAATCGTTCAGACATATATCACCACCAACAATCGAAAACTTTAGTCAAACAGAAGCCGATGAACTAACGGCATTGATATCTGGAATAGATGATTCACTGTTGTTGTTTCAAGAATTTCAACAGCTAACACCAGAAATTAAAGAATGTACTGATATGAGAGCAGTAGCAAAAATGTTAAAAAGCGTTCATTTACGTTATCCACGTCTTGCTCGTGTGTATGAATTTATGTTAACGTT